GCCTCAACAACTGGGAATTGTGGAGTTTAGCATTTCCAGATCGATCTCTATTTTATATTGCCGAATAGGAAGTCTAACTTAGGTGTCACTGAATTACAAACTGATTAAATTAAAATAACTCAAATATATATTGGACTCCTCATCCGACATGTATGCATGTGGACAATGTTTTTCAAATGTGAAATAGACAAAATTCACATTTGGTTTAGAACGACTGCAAAATTTTTTTCGGTAAGGACTGAGAGACCATCAAAAAATATATTAACTTTTTTGGATAAAGGAAATCAATTTCGTTTTCATAATGAAATTTATAAACCTCTAGGCTACGAATATTTAATTATGAATTAATTTCAGGGAAATTTCGATTTTAGACACAAATCTAAAGGTATTGGTAAGCTAACTCATGTAGAGGTCGATTCCTTGGGCTGTAGAAAAGTTTGCTCTGTGTACTTTAAAAATTATTTATATTAAACAAACGTATTCACGCTGAGTAAATTATTAGGGACGTTTCTAGATCTCTAGACGGACAAGAAAATATTGACCCTATTCGGTCAACCATAGGTCATTTTGTAATTGCCTACAACTTCAGATTATTATAGTAATATTGGTAATTAACGTGAATTAATTTTGATCATAAAGGGATATGATTTTGAAATATTTTAACATGTACAAATATTTTCCAAGAGCAATAAAAAAAATTACACGATTCTAAAACCATGACTAATCTCTTTTTTTTTTCTTCACACAATATCTTTTGTTATCACTTTACAAACAAAACACAACACACAAGCAAACAACTTAAAATGCATAAAATATGATAGAACAAAGCTCATATGTTATAGAATGTGTTTAAATTTTTTTTATGGACAGCCAAATAATCTATGCTAATACAAATATTCGTTTTTTTCCTTTTCATCATTTTTAATCGTATTTTTTCTTTTGTTCTAAATAGAAGAGAGAATTCCGAAAAAATATATATGTATTTATGAAGAGTAAAAGTTTGTGTTTCATCTACAATCCATTAAAACTTATTAAAAAATTGTTATACTAATTTCTAATTAAATTTACATTTATGTTTACATGCGGTTTTTTTGTATTTTGTTATTAATATTATCATTTTTTATGTCTTTGTTGTTTTTGCTTTATTTTTAATTATATAATATATTAATAAGTAGTACGTAATAAATTTTTTGTTATTATGTAGTTGTGTGTAGTTTTCTTTATATATATACTTTTCATATATAATTTGTTTAGTTTTTCTTGTAATTACATATTATTAGTTATATATTTTTTTAAGAATTTGAGGTAAATTTGGCAAATTAATATTAAAAGTAAGAGTTTGTTTCTTGGTTTTTCTAGTAATTTCTATTATTTATGTTGTTTGTATGTGAGAGTTTGTTTTTTGTTTTATTTATTTCCAAAACAATGTTCTATATAAAATTCCAAATGTAAAAAAAAAGAATTTAAATGGGAGAACATTATTAATAATATACGATTTATATTTTCGATATAAGTTGTTTTTATTTACAATTGAAAATAATGTTTTAAAAAATTATTTTTTTTAAAAATACATAATTATTAAGAAATCGTTGCACAATTTTGTATTTAATCTCACTTTTTTAATAAACTAATATTTATAAAAGATTAATTATTAAGACTTTTTTTATTTAAAAATCACTTTGAAATTGTGATTTAGAGTTGTATTTTATCTATAAGCATATTAAAGGTTACATAAAACGATTCTGAGTAATAATGAGGACATCTCCTGAAATCACGGTATTTGGCCAGGAATATAAACAATAAAAGATTTCATATAATAAAATCTCTAGGCTTCTTTTTGTGATTTGGAAAACAATTGTTTATTATTAAAAGAAAAAATCAGGGCATTGATTTTCAGTGAAAAATTAAGTGCATTATCCACAATAGTAAATGAGGAAAGTATAGAAGAAAATCTAATTGGTAGATTTTTATTCAACCGGGTCATTCCATCCAACATTTCGAAAAATGTATTATTAGAAGCATTTTAATATTTGTTCATTATAAACATGTATTGAACTGATCTGCATTATTAAATAATAAAATAAAACCGATCCGTTTATAATGAACCGAAATGTAAAATATTTTGGTCCGGCTTGCCATATACCTTCAATAATCCTAGTACCAATTATCTAGCCCTAATTGGGTATCAGAATTATCTAACCCTAATTGGTATCAGAATTGTCCAGCTTCGCTGACTGGATGTCTAGTCCCTACCCGAAATTTATGAAACTAAATCAAAGTGTTTAAAGTAAATTCAAACACAATATGTTCAATATGAAAATATCCTGAGAATTTAGAGCAACAGGAGTAGTAACTATAAAGATCAGATATCAACATTAAAGATCTTATTCCATGATTTATGAAACAAAGTCTGACTGATTATGACAAGATATCCAGGCATGTGCAGAGCTTTCTTAGTATACGGAAAATGTAACCAAAGACATTTGCCGGTTTTTTTTATTACAAATGGCATTATGGCCCAAGGTGGCATTAAAGTCCACTGACGAAACTCCTATTGTCCAGTCCTAATTTATAATTTATGGTTATGAAAAATCGAACCAAAAATGTCATTATATTATGGCCTAATACCTATTTTTTAGTCCTAACTCCTTTCTGAACAAATGAAACTAAAATATTTAGCAAATATTTAGTCTGGTTTTTCTCATGAGCCAGACACCTATTGTCTTGTCCCTTATTCGGAATAAAAAAAATGTACTCTTTATTTTACAGCTGGCCTTATAAGTCCACTGAACTGGTACCTTTTTTCTAGTCTTGACTTGGAATTTATTAAAAAATCGAATGAAAATCTTTAGTAATTTCTTATCTCGCCCTACATGACATATTTTTAAGTATGGATCAACTTGAAATAGAAATGAACTAAATATTAGAAAATATGATCCGAAATATTGTATTAAGCTCCATTCTCACTATGAGGGATTTTTTCCGGTAATTTTATTGCCGAATGCAATGGGCTGGATTTCGGAATAATATATTAAACTTCATTCTCACCAAGAGCTGATTTCTATCGGTAATTTATTGTCGAATGCAAAGGGTTGTGTTTTATCAGAAATATTTACCTTCTATAATATAAACGGTAACTATAAAGTATCGATGTATTCAGAAAATATCTAAACCGTCAATGGCTAGAATTACCAGTCAAACTATTAAAAGTTTTGGCCAAATAGATTCCATAAATATTGTTTCAAAATTAAAACCATTTCGACTGATGTATTCAAAAAATATCTAAACTGCCAATGGCTACAATTACCAGTCGAGCTATTATAAGTTTTGGCCAAATAGATTCCATAAATATTGTTTCAAAATCAAAACCATTTCGATAAGGAAAAATATTACACAAATTTGCTAGTATGATTTCAAGGAGAAATCAAATAATTTTGAATAACCAACAAACGAATACTTTTCCAAAACCATTTCGCTTCCGGCAAGAGAAAGGGTTATAGAGGATTGCATCTGTATTACATTTCTCTGATATATACTTAGTTTACAAAGAATTATCTATAATAAATATATATTAAAAACTTTTTCATAACAAAATATTTTTGTTTAAAAAATTAAAAAAAATGTATGATAAATATGTGTATAGAAATTTTAACAATTTTGAAAGTATTCTTTAAATTAAAATACATAAGTGAGTACATATTTTAACGATTTTAAAAAATATATGAATTGAATTATAAAAAAAAGTTAATGGGTATTTTGCTTAAAATCATGCAAGCTTTTTCTTAAAAAAAATATTTATAAAAATATCTATATTTTTAAAAAAAAATACATATTTTTTTATTTTTTATTTTTACTTAGGAATTTCATATAGAACATGTTGTCTAATTGTCTTCTTTACATAAATTGTGTTCAATATTTTGTTTTTGTAGAGAAAAGTAATGATGTTGTGGGTGTAAAGTGTGTGAGTTAAAAAAAAATTGAGTTTTTTTTCATTTACATAGAGATAAGATTTGAAATTTAAAAGGGAAATTGCGATCTTTTTTTACAATTATCAATTTAGTTTTTCTCATTTCTTTCTTAAAATTTAGTGTGTGTGTGTGTGTGATTTCTTTTGCATTTCTCATTACAAAGTTCTATTTTAGCTGCTCTATGGTTGAATGGAATATTCACCGTTTAGCCAGTGATATATTCAAAATGACATTTTTGTTGTTTTCTTCTTACTCAGCTGGCATCCATTTAAATTTAATAAAATAATAAAAAAGAAAGGACTAAGACTAGTTGTATTTTATGGTTGCTGATGTTGTTGTTGGTGCGTTTGCTCCTTCCGTTTTTCCTTTTAAAAGTTTTAAGTTATTTGTTCTTTACGTTATCTTTTTTTTAATTCTCTTTTGATATACTTGTTTGGTTTGTGAGTGTGAGTGTGTTGTTTTTCGGTTCTTGTTTAAAAAAATTATCGGTGGTGGAATGATTTCTTTTGGTTGTTTATTTTTAACATCCTGGTTTCAATGTAGTAGCTTGCAAAGTGTCTTCTCTCGTTCGTCGTCTTTTAATTGTGGCAGCTTTCTTTTTTTGTAAAAGTTTCTATCCTCAGAAGGAAAGACTTCTGTGTTGCAATTTACTTTTCGTGGTTTCTTTCTTCCGCTTGAGTCCTTTTTTTTGTGCCGTGAAATAGTTTTTTTGTTCTTGTTTTTCCGTGTTGCTTTTAATTTTGAAGGAGGGCTGGGTTTTCTTTCATTACACTGTTTTGGTAGTCTTATATTTAAAAAAAATGGCTCCTGCTTGTTTGCTTTGTTGCAATGTTGTCCTAGTTGCTTGGTTTACTTCTTCTACGCCGTCATCTTCTTCTTCGTTTTCGTCTTGGTTACAAAATCACGTTCTTTAAATATGGAAGTCTTGTGGTTAGTGTGGAGAAATGTTATAGTAGATGTGTTTTCATAAAGATGATGGTAATGGTAATTGTAGTTTAGCTGGCATTTGCGTTCTTATGGGCTATTTTGTTTAAAATTTAAAATTTTAGGCTGCTATGGCCTCATTTTGCCGTCATTCCCATTGATGGGGTGATGGTGGCAATTCGGAAGGGTGTGCCACTGTTGAACTGGAAAATATTAAAAAGTGTTTTTAATAAAATTGTTGTAGTAAATGAAAGGGATAGGAAATATATTTTTAGGGGGAAATAGAAATAAAAAGCACAAACAACAACTTGTCATAGCTAATAATTATTAAAAAAAAAAAACATCAACATTGTTTTAAAATAAGAAGAAGTTGAAAGTTTTTTTTTACCGATAAAATGAAACCCAACACCACTACAGAAGAAAAACTAAATTTTATTATCCATATACATATTAATTAGGTGAAACATCCTAGGCATCGGTGGTGTTCAATTGTGAACAAGCATCTTGAAATGCAGTGCATGCAAAAATTGGAGCAAGGACCTATGTGAAGAATAAAACCTACTAAACCAATGCTCCCAAGGTGGCGGTTACCGAAATATCGTTATTTCTTAATACGATATTTCGGTGGCGGTTCCTTAATGGCCTTGGGAGCATTTTATAGCCACGGAATGCTTTATTTGACATTTCCATGTTGTCGGATGAATTCAATGGAGTACGTTCAAGTCTTGGAAGACAAATTATTGCCATTTTGGGAAGGCAGCAACAATCGTAATACTCAAGTATGGTTAAAATCGAAAAATATTAAAATTTCCGACCAGAATTCGATCGAGAACATGTGTGAAATCTTGACTCATCGTGTCTATGCAGAAAACCTCCAATACCAAACTGTATTTTACCTCCAAGAAGTGATTATCGATGAATGCCGGTCAATCGATGAAGACTTGCGAATAATTTTGATCAACAGTGTTATGGATAAAATTTTTGAACTTATTAAAAATAAGGGAGGCCCTACCCATTAATTATAAAATTTATTTAATATTTTTATGTTTTAAAAAATATTTTTTTCTAATTTTGTAAAAGTGCGTTTAGTTATGCAACACCAGCAATTTTGAAAGTGCAGAATTCGGCGAAAGAATAAATTAATTATTTTTGTTGGATAATATGTGTTTTTGATCGTTTTATTGTGAACAATAACTTAATGGGTCCATTTTATTTGTCAACTAACATACCAATTGAATTAAAGGTGCGTCTATAGTTATGATACGCAGTGTATTAAGCTTCAAAATTTTGCACTCTTACTGCTACAACTCCTAGAATGTTTGGAATTGAAAATTGCATATTTCAGGCCATATAACGGCAACGCTTAGTTCGGTAATTGTTAATGTTGATCCACTTTTTAGAATAGCCCTTAGAAAATCTCCCAATCAAAAGTTGTCGGTATTGACCGGAGTAGGCCTTATGTAATGACAGTCGCCATTATTTGGTATTTTTAGCTCTAATGTAATATTTTCGACTCTTTTCCACCATTAGTTGGGGCGTAAAATTATACGAGCGAGGCTGATATCTAATGTCACCAATTTATGACGTTTAGACAGATCTTTTAAGACTGGCTATGAATTTCATAGTACTTAATACAGAGGCGGAACCATTATATGAGGACTATGTCAAAATATAGGACTACAATTTTCTGCCAAAACCTTTTTATACTCCAAACCTCAGAAATTACTAATTATAGCCACATCGGTTGAAAAACAGGTCTTCGGCCATCAACATACTAAAATGTGGGGGATAACTACTCCGTGAAGAAGTGTTTCATCTTCCAAAAATCTGGATAAGAGAATTGTCTCCAAAAACCTCCATAATGGCGAATAAAAATCTTAACATAAAATTGCAAACTACAAAAGGCAATTCAATAATCATATTGGAATAGAACAGCGATGGTAGACTTGTCCTCAATGATAAAATCTAGGTAAAAATATTATTCACAGCCGGGTAATTGTCATCGCTATCACCTCTGGTGGAAATTAGATTTAAAGGTCATTAATACGCCACACAATGTTTGAAAAGTATTATTCATACTTTTACTTGCACACAACATCAGAAATAAGGGTTTTCTTCTCTCTCAAGTACGTTTGATATTATATAAAAAAACTGTCCATATTCCAAATTTGTAAAGACAAACTCAAAAACAGTTTTCGATTTTTATAAATAAGACTTTTTAATTGATGTACTTTTTATAGTTTTTTTTTTTCATTTTTTTACAGTTTTTAAAAACAAAAATCACCTGTTAAAACATCGTAGGAACATTTTTAATAATAAATAAATTTTTATCCGGACTTGAAGTGGAAAGAAATTTGATACATCTATAAAAATATAAAAACCCATGTATCTAAATAAGTTTATTAGAAACTTTGTGTCAGTTATTTATTTCCATATTCTATACCAGAAAATATGATGGACAATGAGGTTGCCTATTACTAAACGAATTTATATATATAAATATATATATATCTGAACCCATTTGAATCAACAATTATTATAGATAAAAGTCGAAATCCTTCACGTATATTTTGGTTAGTCCTTGGGAAAATTAATAGCCAATCCTGGACAATTAATTGACCATGTAGTGGGGATATGCATAAATCAATTATCAAATTCATAATACGGAGGTCATCAACTGTAACTATGGGTCTAAGTGTTTTGTTTTAGGGTGTAATATACAATTACACACTAACATATACGACAGGGTAGTATTAAATAATTAACTCAAAGCTGAGTTTTTAAACCATTAAATCTAAGTCTAAAGCAACTAATAATTTGAAAAATGTCTCTACGCAAAATGCCCTTTCTTTCTATATGTCCCAAAAATGCCTTTTCTTTCAATATGTCCCTGAATACATATTCAATCAAGATGGCTATTTTTTATACACAAATATATAAATTTACGTTTTTTTTGTTTTGTTTTAATTGGCAGCATAATTTTTATTTCTATTCTTATTATTTACAATTATAGATATTTTTTAAGAACAAACTTTTACAATTCGCTCATTTACAAAATATTATTTTTTTAGTGTATTAATTTATATTTAGACAAAAAGAAATTAAAAAAAAAATATAAAAATATATTTAGTACGACACCACAATTATAAAAAAATATTAAAGTATTTTCTAATGGAAACATCTCAAAAATTAAAACTTATTTAGAGAATAAATTTTTTTGCAGATGCTCTACATGACCTAAATTAAACATGTTTTGTTTACGAATAAGTTTCACAAAATTAATGAAAAAAAAACACAATAATTAAAAATGTTTAGCAATAATTTATGGTCAAGACTTTATAAGAGTCACAAGTAAAGTATTACAACAAAATAATTCTACTCAATAATCACTGCTGCTTTTTTTGCACGACACGACGTTTATTACAAAAAATTGACGCTCTGGGAAGATGATTTGTGGGGAAGGTTGATGGATGCATTCCAAAACACACAGGGGATGGACGATGTTCTTTTTTTTGCAAATTTGATCAATCGATGGATGGATGTGTGAGGTTATGCATTTTAGTGCCGTTGTTCTCTAATTGTTGGTTGGGATGGCAAATATTTGCCTTTTCTCTCTCTCTTTCTCGCTCTCTTACACATTCTGACATTATTACTTCGTCGATGACAAACTAGGGACAATAAAATGGTAGCATTAAAAAACAATAAGTTATTGAACAGATTATTAACAAAAAAATTAAAATTAAATATTTAAATTATATAATAATTATTATCATTATAAAAACGGGGGGAAATGTACAAATAGTTTACGTTATATTTATTATTATTATTGATTGAATTTATTTAAATGTGGTTAATAACTGAAAGTTTAGTCACACAAATAATTATTTACAAACAATTAACGAAAAGGAATTTTTAATATGAATTAAGTGATGAATGTATGTAAATGTCATTATCATCATTAACGCGTACTCACACACACGCACACACGAACTTAATTAATTGATTGAAATTTATAAATTAGTAAGAAGAAGCATTAAATATGATATATGTATGCTATTTGTGTGTGTTTGAAAATGAAATGAAACAATATGAACAGTAGAAATAAATAGTTTGATATTTTTTACATAAAAGGTAATTATTTAACAATTTTTGTATTGCAATTAAAAGAAAATTATTGTCAATTGTTGTTGTTAAAAAAAAAAACGGACACAAATACATACAATAAAATCACAAAATCATGTAAAAATCTGAACTGCTACATTATTTGGCAAAGTTTTATGACTAAGGAATCCATAAATATTAATCGAAAATATTTTGTGAAACTTTTTCAAATGATTCTTGATTACAAAGAACTATGCAATATAATATAATAAATAGTAATGTTGCATTTTCACAAAGCATGACCTATGAAATTCATACATTGGTTAGGCTACGCCCTTTTCAGTTATAAATCAAAACCATCAAGTATAGTTTTAATTATTTTATTCTTTATTCGAAATCTATATTTGTAAATAAAAAAATTTAATTTCAAATTCAAAAAATCCATTTACATTATATTACCAAATTTAAAATTTTACTTTGATTTGAAATTTTGGCAATATTAAACTGGCTGGCAGATTAATGAAATTGAAGACTTGCAACTTTACATGTATGTATTTGATGATTTCAAGAATAAGAAAATTAAATTTTGTTGCTGTTTTGGAGTTCTTTTTTTGAAATTAAAGAAAATTCCTCATTTCGACGGCCGACCACTGAAAAATCCGAACCCAACATTTCCTACGGCATTCGAAAGAGTGCATGTCTGGCTGGTATTGACTATATCTTCAAGAACTGTTTGCGACCCATATTAATCATTTTTGATAGAAAGATTTTACACTCAATAAGAACTCAAAATTTGCTTGAAATCCGTATCTAAAACACATTATTCAATTCTATTCTAGAACTACTAGCATATAGCTCCATCTTAAATATTGCGTGTTCTATGGCCATTTCAATATCCAGATGAAAATTAGTGTATAAATCTGATTTAAGTTATATTGCGAAAATACAAAAGGGATGACTACTGATTTGCCATATTTGGATCATTCGCACAGTAATCCCATATTAATCCCATTGAACGTTTAAGAGAACATGTGTGGATCGACAAACAAGAAAAAGGGAAATTATAGGTAAGGATTAACTCAAATAAAACCAGTAAGGAAAGTAGTAAAATCGGACTGGGCCGACTATATGATACCCTTTACCACTTTGGGAATACCCTTCACCACTTTGGGAATATGTACATCTGAACCGATTTCAGGGAAACTTGCCAAAGACTAATTTATATTACTTAAGTACGTTGTGTCAATCGGCCTAGCTATGGATCTTTTCACGAAGCTTAACAACATCATTCTGGACATAATTCAGTACCCTATACCAAAATTTGTACAAATCGAAAGGTATATAGGGACTTTGGTGCATCAATTACTTAAAATCGGATGAAAATATATATGAGATCTGTATCTAAATCGTAACAGATTTTCACGAAACTTAGCACACGTCATTCTAGCCATAAGTCAGTACGCTATCACAAATCTCGTGCAAATCGACTGATTTTCAGAGAATTTGGGGCATCAATTACCTAAAATCGGATGAAAATGGGAGCTATATCTAAATCTGAACCGAAACTTCGCACACATCATTCTAGGCTTAATTCAGTGCGCTATGTCACAATTCGTGCAAATGAAAAGATTTTCAGGGACTTTGGTGCACCAATACCTAAAATCGTGCGAAAATATATATGGGAGCTATATTTAAATCTGAACCGATTTTCATGAAACTTAGCACACATTATTATAGACGAAATTAAGTACGCTATGCCAAATTTCGTGCAAATCGAAAGATATATAGGGACTTTAGTATACAATTTACCGTAAATCGGACGAAGATATATATGGGAGCTATATCTAAATCTGAACTGATTTTCACGAAACTTGGCAGACATCATTCTAGACCTTATTCATTACGCTGTGCCAAATTTCGTGCAAATCGAAAGATATATAGGGACTTTGGTACACAATTTACCTTAAATCGGACGAAGATATATATGGGAGCTATATATGAATCTGAACCTATTTTCAGGAAACTTAACACACATCACTCTATACTTAATTCATTACGCTGTGCCAAATTTCGTGCAAATCGAAAGATATATAGGGACTTTGGTGCACCATTTACATTAAATCGGACGAAATCTGAACCGATTTTTCCCAATTTCAATAGGGTTCGTCCTTGGGCCAAATAAGTGGTCTATACCAAATTTCATCCAAATCGGATCATAAATGGGACCTGTACTTTGTTCACAAAAATACATGGACGGACGGACATACGTAAATCGACTCAGAAAGTGATTCTATGCATATTCTCAAAAGGAACCATGTGTCTATCTCGTTTCCTTTTGCCTGTTACAAACATATGCACAAAGACATAATACCCTGTACCACAGTGTGGTGAAGGGTATAAATACGAAGACAGTTCGGAAACTTCTTAGCCTAGCACAAAAAGCGCGGTATAAACAGAAAAAGTTAAGAGTTTTGGAAACATTCATCTCTATTATGAACACATATTAAATATTGCTTCTATCTGGCAACTCCTTCATATAGAAAGAGAAGAAACTACAGAAATTGTAGACAAAGTGCATGATATGGTTTTAAATGATCGACGAATAAAAATGCGTGAAATTGCTAATATCATGAGCATCTCAAATGATAGAGTCCATTTAATTTTGCATGAAGAACTACAGATGAAAAAGCTTTCTGCAAGATGCTTGCCGCATTTGTTAACAGTCGATCAAAAACGCATAATAATGAAAATTTCTCAAGCTTGTTTGGATTGTTTTAAGCGAAATAAAATGGTTTTTAAGCGTCGTTTTATAACTGTTGATGAGACATGGATCCACCACTCTGCTTCAGAGACAAAAGAACAATCCAAACGAGGCAAAAACAATTCAATCGGCTGGTAAGGTTATGGCAACGGTTTTTTTGGGACTTCAAAGACATTTTATTGATTGACTATGTACAAAAGGGTAAAACAATAAATTCACAGTACTATTGCAACTGTTTGGATCAATTAAATGTACAAATACGAGGAAAACGTCCTTGATTACAACACAACAACATTATTTTTAATCAAAACAATGCACCAGCGCACAAGATTTTTAACAATGGCTAAAACCTACGAATTAAAGTACGAGTTGCTTGACCACCCACCTTATTCTCCTGATTTAGCGTCCAGCGACTTTTACTTGTTCCCAAATCTAAAAAAATCTTGCTGGCAAGCGTTTAACCTCAAATGAAGATGCAATTACAGTTGTAAACCACTATTTTGAAGACCTTGAGGAAAACTATTTTAATCAAGGGATAGAATTGCTAGAAAAGCGTTGGACTAAGGGTTTTGAAGTTTCAGGAGATTAAATTGAAAAATAAAAATATTTTTGAAAGCCTTACTACTCTCTTTTATTGATAGGCTGACAATTGCCTGTTGCCTGAAGTACTAAACAGCTTTTGAAACCGATGTCGAGAACATTGTAGGCATTAAAATCAAAGGCAATCAAATAAAATTCTAATAATTTTCAAAGTAGCTATTTTAATATAGTAATTATTTTCATATAGAGAAAATGTACTGATAAAATTTGTTTATTTCAAACAAGAATTGCTTATCCCCATTTAAATATATATAATACAATAAAACATATACAGTAATACATACACAATATAACTCAATAGAGCAAATGACAGTAATTTCCTTTTAATTAACATTATCAAAATACTAATTTTCAATTATTAAAGCAACAAATAGTTATTATCAATTTGTTAAAGAAAATATTGTTGATTTATTCATCAATGAAATTAATCGGAATGTGAATGATAAATAAATAAAAAAGAAAATTGTTTTAATTAGAGTTGCAATTGCAATTATCATATTTGTGTACGCCTGAAAGTATGTGACATAAAATAATGCTAATTACGAGTAGTTGACAATGTCGTTGTTTGTGCTTTTTTGTTTGCGATATTGTTGTTTTACGTTAAAAACATGGAAAATAGGGGAAATATTTAAACATTGGGCGTAATAACAATTTGTGGGAGAGGAGGTTGATTTTCAAAAATAAAATTCATTTAGTTGACCTACTTGGCTTTCACAACAGCTTATATTCCTGTAACTGGCCACAATTCACAAACGGATGTTCGACGACTAGACTTTTTGAAGCAACAGTTTTAATGGATAGGCAGTTATGCTGTTTTGTTTTTTATTTTTTATTGTTGTTCTTTAAAAAATATTGCGTACAAAATGCTATCTCACCTAGGGCTTGGTTGATGAGGCGGCAATATTATATAACATTTTATTACTATTTCATCTATTTGTGAACTCTTTGATGATGTTTATTTTTTTAAGTTATTCATATCTAGATTTGTTTGTAAAATTTGTAAATGCATTTTGTCATTTTGTTTATTTTTCTTTAATAAGAAAAATCCGCCTACGCTAACAGATTTTCTTATGTACATTTTTTCGAATTTCGTTTTGTGTTTTGTTTTCAAGATCAATTATTTTGATCCGTCATTAATCATTACAGTAGTAGCAGCAGCAGTGTTTCTTGCAGTAGAACTATTTTGTAGTTGATCTCTGCTATTTTATTGGCTTTATTGTTATGTTTCGTTTGTTCGGTGTTTGTTTTTATTTCATTTTGTTGCAGTAGTAGCAAAGGAAGAAAAATAACAATAGGCAAAATGTTAAAAATAAATTTAAAACAAAAAAGATTTTAGTTGAGATAGATTTCTATTAAAGTAAAAATGGAAAAAGGGAACAAATTAACATGTTGTTAAGAAAAAATTCGAATCAGTCATAGTTAAGGGACTTGAAAGTTTAGAGAACTTACATTCAAAGGTTATTTAAGGAAGGGCAAGGATAGTGACAACAATATTTAGCTTACCTGGCAAAACTTTTGAATGCTGCACTTTGTGGATTTATACACAGTGGAACACGTCCCGTTTGTAATTGTTCGGCAATGAATTTGTGCATTTCCTCTGTAATAGTTTTATAAAAAAAAATATTAGAATATATTGATATATAGAAATTGGGTTCAATACTACTAAGTAAATAGATCTCTTAAATCTAGACTTCTCTATAATGAGGAATTTTCCATAGAAGAGACCCCTATCCTTCTCTGTATAGAAAATCTTTATATATGCATACGATTATATCTGTATAATAGAATTCTATCATATGAAAAAACCTTATGTCGATAGAGGAAGATCCTTGTTCATACAGAATAGCCTTTGTCACACACAAACACATTGAATTAATAAACAACGAATTTTTAAGAAATTTTTGGGGCTGCACAGTGTATAGGATATATAATACCCAATATTTTTAGTTATTATCACAACTTAAAACTTGTATTTTTTAATCATATTTTTCAAGGGCTATTACAGTACTTATGAATATTTTATAAAAAATATTTTCAAGGTCTATCGCAGCTATAAATATGGATTTTTTATAGAATATTTGTTGCAAGGCCTATCACAGTTTTTTTAAAAAAAATATTAGTTTTTTAATCCTATTTTTAATTTTTTAATTCTATTTTTAAGCACTATTACAGAATTGAGCTTTGATTTTTAAAAATCATTCTACAGATTATTAAAATCTCGTATTATCTTAGTGGATCTTTCTTTACGTCTTAGCTGCATGTCTCTATAGAATATACATCTAGTAGTAGAATATATACAGAATATCCTTGTAACTATGGAATAGCATTACATATATAGAAAAGCTATCTAACTACAGAAAAATCTATCCCTAGAAAAGTTTTTTAAAGACTTTTTTTAAATATAAATTCTATTGGAAAACCCTTCTTTTCATTTCACCCACCTTTAACCTGTTGTACTGATGTCAATTTTCTTTCCCATAAATCATCGAATGCCTGACCGGCCGATGGTTCAAAATCATTTGTATATTGCCGCATACCGGCCGGTGTGGTGAAACAACATTTACACATGCATGAATGATAACGTAAACGTCCTTCGTCCAAATAGGGATGGGCCAATGCATCCGTCACTGAAATACGCTTATCCTGCAAAACAAGCAAAGATACACACCGACATTAAATTACAAAACTCATACAAATGCAAATGCCACATTTTCACTTACCGGATCAAATACCAACATTTGACAAAGCAAATGCACAGCTTCGTGTGTGGCATGTGAACTTAGTGTATAGAGAGCTGAGAATGAGGGCAGTTTGGGTGCACGTCTTAGCATATGTGAACGAGCTCCGCCACAGGCATGACGCATATCCTCCATCGAGGGTGTACCCAGCAATTCGGTAATGAGATCTAATTGTTGTACAGGATTTTGAGCTTGGAAGAGTATACGGCGACCGAGTAGTTCGCCAAAAATGCAACCCACCGACCACACATCAACCGCCGATGAATAATGTCGGGCACCCATTAGAATTTCCGGTGCCCGGTAATATTGTGTCACCACCTCTTGGGTCATGTGTTTCGTTTGGTCGGGCTCCTCGACACGTGCCAGCCCGAAATCGCATATTTTCAATACACAATTGGAATTGACCAACAGATTGCCGGGCTTGATGTCACGATGCAGTATTCGGGCAGAATGTAAATATTTGAGACCACGTAGAATTTGATACAGGAACACTTTGATGTGATCGGCAGATAAATGTTGCGGCGAAACAATAATTTTATGGAGATCTGATTGAAGAAGTTCGGTTATCACATATCTGAAATAAAAAAAAAAAAAAAATAATAATAGTGTGAGTTAAGTACAATTAATTAAGTCTGTCATAAATTTAATTTTTATGTTTAGTTGAGATTTTTTATAGCTTCAAAGGTTTTTGGAATAAGAAACGTGTTTTAAATATAGCTCAAAGCGTAATTGTGATTCTTCAAAATTTTCAGAAAAAAAAGTATTTCCTTTTCTACTATTTTATGTTTATGTATACTTCGAGTGAAACTGTAAACAAATTGTATATACAATTCCATTAAAATTGATTTCCAATGGAAATCGCTGCAAACAAAACGTTTATAAATTGATGCACAGGAAAAATGTTGTTAAATGGAAAGACCCAATTAATGGGTTGAAATATAAATATTTTTTCTGTTTCAAGGATTATCAATTATTGGTTGGAGGACTATCACAGCTGTAAGCTTGAAATTGGTTAAGGATTTTTTTGTGTATGACAATACAAATAAATAATTTAAAAAATTGAATATTCAAAGAATTATTGTTCAAGAACTATTACAGCTCTAAATTTAGATTTTTAAAGAATTTATTGTTCAAGGACAGTAAGACCTATATATGTGAATATTGTAAGGCTATGATTACAATATCTATTACAAATATAGGCCTGGATTTTTAAATAATATTTTAAAGAATGTGGATTTTTTAAAGAATATTTTTTCAAGGGGTGTTTGATCCATAGGTTAGATTTTTTAAATAATATTTTTTCAAGGACTGCATATTTGGATTTTTTAGAAAATATTGTTTTTTAAGAATTGTGCATTTTTCGAGGAATATATTTAAAGAGCTGTGAATTATTTAAAGAATAATTTTTCTGGGCTGTAAGGGCTATAGGTGTGGAGTTTTGAAAGAATATTTTTTCAAGGTCTGTTAGGAATTTTTTTAGAAAATATATTTTTTAAAGACAAATTGTTGTCATAAGAATAAGCTTGGATTTTTAAAGGATGCTTTTATGAGGATAGGTTGAGGTAAACGAGAGGATTTTTTTTTTTTCAAATAGTATTTTTTCAAATAGAATATTTTTCAAGGACTGCCATAATAATAAGCGTGGATATTAAAAACTGTTTTTTTAATGGCAATTACAGCTATAAGCCTGAAATTTTAAACAATATTGGTCCAAGAACTATGACAAATATAAGCCTGAATTTTTAGAGAGCGTTTTTTTCAAGAAGTATGACAGCTAAAAATCAGAATTTTTTAAGAATATTTTTTTAAAAGATCAGAATATTTACCAGGACAATTATATTAAAATTTTATAATTTTTCCAGACAATGACAGCGCCAAAAAAAAAAAATGGCGTTCTCTTTGAAAACATCTTACTCGAGAAATTTGGTCGAGTAAAAATAGTAATCAGGAATGCCTACTTCTGATTGGCTGTTATGTTCATTTTGGCATATTTACTAGATTTGCGTTCCCGATCTTTTCAAATTATTTTGTACTCAGAGCAATTTTCAAATGTTTCCCTTTTACTAGATTTACTATTAAACAAGTGAAAAAGCGTTAAGTTCGGCCGGGACGAAATAGATATACTGACAGGTACTAGAAATGAATATGTAGGGAACATACCAAAAAGTGGACCTATACCGATATGTCTAAAAAGGGATTATGTAAACCATAGTGTAAACCATAATAAAAATTTCAGAACTTTTTAATTGATAATTCAAATTCGAAGATGGGGAATACCGGTCCACTCTTTCTGAAACCTTCACACAGGGGCTAGATCTAACTGCGGCAATAGTTCATTATCGAACATTACGCTCTAATGTTTTATCTCGCTATCCTCCGCAGGTGAAATGATTTCAACAGAGTCTTAGAACCAAACTCAAAACGTGGAACAAATGAGATAACTATTTTAATATAAAAAAGGGGGTTATTTGAAGACTATCCCAAAAAATGGGCGAATATTAAAAATTTTTGGTAGAGAGATTTGTTACCATATACGACTACGAAATACCAAATATCAGCAAATTCGGTTGAAAAACGCGCTCAAGGACCCAAAATACCGAAAATTGGGGGTACCATTATATGAGGGCTATCCGAAAACATGGACCTATATTCATAATTTTTTGTGGAGATATTTGGAACCTATTAAAAACTCAAAATACTAAATTACAACTAATTCGTCGGAAAAATACGATCAAAACCCCCAAAATACTGAAAATTAGGAGGTAGTGTTATATGGGGGCTACCAGAAAAAGTGAACCTATATTTATAATTTTTTGTGGAGACATTTAGTACCCAATAAGAATTCAATGTAGCAAATTTCAGCGAATTCGGTTGAAAACCCCGCTCAATAACCCCAAAGTACCGAAAATCTGAGGGTACCCTTATATGGGAGCTATCCGAAAAAATTGATCTATATTCATAATTTTTTGTGGAGATATTTGGAACCTATTAAGACCTTAAAATACCAAATTGCAACTAATTCGGCGGAAAAATACGATAAAAACCCCTAAAATACTGAAAATTGGGAGGTACCGTTATATGGGGGCTACCAGAAAAAGTGGACCTATATTTATAATTTTTTGTGGAGATATTTATTACCCAATAAGAACCCAATGTAGCAAATTTCAGCGAATTCGGTTGAAAAACGCGCTCAAGAACCCCAAAATACCGAAAATTGGGGGGTACCCTTATATGGGAGCTATGCCTAAACGTGGACCCATGAAGCCCATCTTCGAACTTGACCTGCCTGCAGACAAAAGAAGACCCTATGCAAAATTTTGGCGATCTATCTCAATTCGTTTAGACGCTAGAGTGATTACAACAGACAGACGGACATGGCTACATCGTCATAGAATTTTACGCTGATCAAGAATATATATACTTTAAAGGGTCGGAAATGATTATTTCGATGAGTTACAAACGGAAAAACAAAACTAATATACCCTCCATACTATGGTGGAAGGTATAAAAAGTACTGGAACAACCACTTATGTTTTACATTTTTTGACAGAATACATTTGACCTTGAAAGTCCGACCTTGAAAGTCTAACCTATTTAGATTTTTTGATATAATATATTTGTCCTTGAAAGTCTAACCTCTCAAATGATGTTACATTTAAAATATTGATTAATTTATCACAGATTTTGAAGGTTAATAGGACAATGCCATTTATTTTGACATCATTTTCCATGAATAGTGAAAATATAAGCAGAAAATGAAATAATCCTTACTAATTTTGTCATTTTTTAGGATTTTGTTGTTGCAAGCCTTTAATTTGATACTTGTGAAGATATTCCACAGTATCAACTTTCGACGAGTATGTATTTTTTTTCTTCGAATAAGTTGGACAAGCATTAAAGATAACAATTAAACAAGCAGCTTGTCTACACTACGCCGTTACTTAGGCAGCTATTTCTTTAATTGGCGGGTCATAAAGTGAAGTAAAATGTTTCTACTTATTTCAAGGAACCTTTGGTGCTTCATCGTTCCTCATTCTCCCACACACAAGCCAACCAAAAGTATTCTTGCATAGCATTATCCTTATAAATAATGTATACAAACATTTGATACATTAAAACCACGGCAAGATTACCCCCTGGCGGTAAAGTGGTTCTGGGAAGTTAAGGAACAGTTTTTTCTTTGAATGTTTATTTTTAAATGCTGAAACAAAACGTATAAGGATAGGAAAAAAGAAAACAAAATGGATTACATTTCTTGGAAGAAATCCAAATGAGGTGGCTGTAGTATATCCAATGCCGATAAGACCTGTAATGAGATAAAAACACAAATACGAATAAATTAGTAATGCAAAATATATAAGACAAATAAACTTATAATTACTATTTATTATGTATGTATACAAATTGTGCAGAGAACACAGATTTTATGCAAATTATAATTTACATATTATTAATTGAAGAAATTTGTTTATGCAGTTTCTTAAGAGATTTACATAAATTATTATTATTTTTTAAATAAGATTGAGGTGAAAATTTTAACAGATGGAATTATCGTTTAATAGCGGCTTCGGTTGATTCTCAAAAATGAATGGTAAGAATCAGGCTCAGGTTAATATCATTGATCCGAAACCTAGACCCACATTATTATACCGGTGAAGGAGATCTGGGTAAATATTAAACATAACTGCTCGAATAAAGATCGGTAAAAAATTTATAAATGTCAAATTAACCATGACTTTTGTATGAAAATTTGCCTTTAATGGAGTATATATTTACTCCGGAACAAGAGGTGTGGTTGGCCTTTGTATTGATACCAATATTTTCTGTTATAAATATTGTTTAGTATTAAGTATTATTTCACTATAGTGGGCGAAATATTCGCGTGGATCTTTACGAAATTCACCAATGATGACATCTATAGTTTTTGGTAATTTTTTGTGTTTTTGGTAAAGATCGGTTAATATTTAGGGGATGAAATGGACAAAATACTAAATTTTTGTCGGTGTTCCGTCTCTCTAGAGGCCGCAATTATGGTCCGAATTTTACATGGAGAAGGGAATCGGGCCAAAGAATAAGCATACCTGTTTTCATAAAGATCGTGCAATATTTAGCGGATTAAATAAACCCCGACTTTTGTGTGAAAAATGACAAAAATTGTATTCTATATGTTTACTCCTGAAGGACATAGACCCGAAGAGTTGATAGTATATCCAAGAGGAGTGGTTGACCTTTAAATTGATACCAATTATATTGTCGTATGTACTCGGATGTGGGAGTTACACGTAAATATTCAAAGGTCCTTACGTATTCAGATATTATTTAATAAACCATTAACCATATAGCGCAGATCGCTCATGATCAGATAATAATTTTGGGATGAAAACTTAATTTTTTGTGTCTTTTTCGAGTCGATCTATAGGCCACAATTGAAATCCGAACATCACAATACATCCCTCGGTGAAAGGAATCTGGAATATTTGTTGACCTCTAGTCGGCCAAGAGAAGCATACAATGTTAGATTTTCGTGGAAGTTGTGTAGGGTATCATATGGTCGGCCCGTCAGACTATACTGCTCCGCTCACTGGTTTCTTTTGAGTTTATTGGAAAGTGCAGTGTTGGTTCGAAAATTTTCGGACTGACGATTTTTCACTGCAAAATGAGCAACGCGTAAACCCAAAACGTCTGTGAAGAATGATGACTTGAATGATCTAGTGGAAGCGGATCCAGACGTATCCACGAGGGAACTTGCTATCAGGATGAAAGCTGACCATACAACGGTATTGAGACACCATTCTGAGATTGGCAAAGGTAAGAAGATGGACAAGTGGGTAGCGCACGCACTGACAGAGCGAAATAAGCTGGATCGGTTAAACGAAACTGAACGAAATGGAATATGAAGTTTTGCAGCATCCACAATATTCACCGGATCTCTTGCCGACCGATTTTCATTTTTTCAAGCATTTAAAGCTGTTTTTAAGGGGCAAAGACAGGCATCTACGCTTTCAAATCTCCTTGGGAGAAGTGTATTGAAGCGAATGGAGCATACTTTGATTGAATAAATAGCTTGTGAAGAAATATATGCAGTTTTATACAATCTCTTAAGAAAGTTTATAAATTCTGGCACAGAAAAATGTACAATACACCAGGAGGAATTAAAATAAATATATTTAAATGTTTTTCTCAAGGACTATTTCAGCTGTAAATACAGAATATGTTTTTCAACGACTATCACAGCTATAAGCGTGACTTTGTTAAAGAATATTTTCAAGAACTAAAATCGTGGATATTTAAAGAATATTTTTCTAGAACAAAAAGTGTGAATTTTTAATTAACATTTTTCTAGAACAAAAAGTGTGGATTTTTAAAGAATATTTTTCAAGGACTCTTATATCTGCAATCGTGAAATTATGAAGGATTATCTCAGCAACACCGTGGATTTTTTTAAATAATATTTTCTCAAGAACTACCACAGCCATATATTGAATTTCTTAAATATATTTTCAAGAAGTATCATAGGTATGCCGTGAATTTGTACACCCTTCACCACACTGTGGTACAGGGTATTATGTCTTTGCATATATTTGTAACAGGCAACAGGAAACGAGACAGGTGGTTCCTTTTGAGAATATGCATACAATCACTTTCTGGGTTGAATTATGCATGTCCGTCCGTTAAGGTTAAAATGTGAATAAAGTACAGGTAGCATTCATTATCCGATTTGGATGAAATTTGGCACAAGTCACTTATTTGGCCCAAGGACTAACCCTCTTGAAGTTCAAGAAAATGGGATCAATGGGATATATAGTTTATTCCAATTTTAAGTAAAATTTTGCACAGCGTACTGAATTCCAGCAACGTACACAGGATTTCATTTCGGGGGGCCCGGTAGTATAAAATGAAAAAATTCGCTGTTACAAACAAAAATTTACTGTGAAAAAATTCATTTCCTGCGTACGTCCCTGCTGAATTCAATCCTGTTTGGCGCCATTTCAAAAAAACTTCTCAGAGTTTTTGAAATCTCTCCAGATTTCGATATAGCTACCATACATAGTTTCGTCCGATTTTATGTTAATGGTGCCCCACACTCACAATATTTGTCCGATTTAGAAAACAATTTGTACAATGAAGTTTTGTTGAAATCAGTTCAGATTTACATATAGCATCCATACAAATGGGAGCTTGATTTCATACAAATGTTACATCAAAGAATCCAAGTCTGCCCGATTGACATAAAAATTGTTCATAGGTTTCAGAATGGTATGTGTATATTTATGTGGATTACAATTTTTTTCACCCCATTCCATTTCAATGGTCTTCAAGTGTTCCCAAAGTGGTGAAGGGTATCAAATAGTCGGCTCTGTCCGACTTTTGATCTTGCCTTACTGGTTTAACGATTATTTTGTAGTGGTAATAATCATATTACAAATTCTTAAGTTGGAAAGTCTATCAATAACCTTCCTAGGGTACGAATTAGTATTGTTTAGGGCTTGTTGGATAAACTATGACAAATCCAATCAACTCATGTTTACTTTTTTCTGCTTTACTTATAACCCGGTGTTGTCATATTCCTTAGTGAGGTCCGAACCTATGTGTTTTACAGTCTGCTTGTGAAAACTTTAAGAATTATTCCCATTTGAAAATTTCTCTGAATGCATGAGACAAAAAGACAGAAACACATGTGACGACACTGAAACAAAACAAAATAAAAAACAAAAACAAACGATGGAAGACAATGACAACAACAAAAAAAGTAGCGAACCAAATGAAAAGTGCCGACAATGTAAACATTTTTATTCACTTTTTGTAAGCTGTGCAGCTGCGAATAAAGTGCAGCAGCAGCAACAACAGCAAAAAACCATGTAACAACATTTGTAATGTAATGCAACTGTTCGAGTAGAAACTATGTACATACATACGCACACACACAGCAGCAGCATGACAATCAAGAATATTAAAGAGAGCTAGAGCGGAGAAAGGGGAAAGCAGCAACTTGAAAAGCCCAACTGCAAATAATTTGCCACAAAAGAAATCATTCAACAACAACATCATTCATAGGCCAACAACAGCAACAAAAACAACTCCACCAAACCATAATGTAATTTGTTGTCGGTTGTTGGGGTTTCATGCCATACCTACAACACAAAGTGTCTGCTGCAACAATTTGTGTTTTCTGTTAAACTGACAATTGACTGCCTGATGGGGTATGGGGCAATGCACATGCGCGTATTACTTCAACGAACTGAACCCCACTTCAGCACCTCCACGACCACAGTACCCCAGCAATGCACTGCTGAGAGAGGGGAGGGTCTGACAGCCAGGTCTATTTGATAGTAATTTTTAGTCTTTAACAAAATATTTTCAATTCATTTAAAGAGAGGAGAAGAACATCATTAGCTGGGAAGAGATACAGAGACGGAGGGGTGTTCGGGAGACAGACAGGCAGGCTGGTCGGCTACTAAATAAATTACTTGGCATGTTGTTGGTAATTAGGTGTAATTGTTGTGACACAACATGCATTTATTGTTCATCATTCAAATAGCAAAAAGGACAATACAATTTAAATTGCAAACGTTTTGTTTGAAGAAGAAGTCTAATGGGGAAATTGTGTGTGTGTGTGTTTATGAACAACATATCCACAATCCAAGTTTGTTTGGGCACGTAGACATGAACTGGGAATTATTCCCCGAAAGATCTCTTGATCTCAATATTTCTGTGAGGACCTATGATTATGATTACTTCGATCGGGCCGTTATAAAGAACATTTATATTTTTGTGAACATATTGTAAAAACATGGAACTATATCCAATAATTTCTGGTAGGAGATATTTATGTTTTGAGATTGGAAAACGAAAAAAATACTCTTCTTGAATGCTCCGAATATTTAAAAGGGGAATGGAACATTCTATCGGAACGATGTTAACACATGGATCAATATTCACAATTTACCCTTTAACACTCTGAAATTTTTTTTTACATCCCATCAGCCATGACACGGGAAAAATGTGCCTCATCGAAATATTCCTTTGAACCCAATCCGTTCGTTTGTCCGGACACAATAGCTCTCGAAGAGAGTAACCAAACTTTGCACATTGTAATATTTCTTCCAAACTTAGTTCAAGATCGAAGATGGGAAATTATCGGTCGACCCTTCTGGTACCTCCCACATAAAATGGTCCAAAATGTGCGGAAATGCATTTCAAAATATCAAGCGAACAGAACATTCGATTCAAATCAAACTTTACACAACCTAATATTGTTGGAAGATGGAACATATCGGTCGACTGCCCCCCAAAGGACAATATTTC